TATGGCAAAAAGGCCTGGCCTTCCTTGAAAATTCACATTTGCCCTGTGACCCAAAAGGCGCTCGTGGCAGAGTAGCCGAGTGGTTAGCGTGGTTAGCTACCGTCCTGCACTGTCGCGGTTCGACTCCAGCTGAGGGTGTTGATAAGACCGATGCAAGGTCGAAACTGCAGTCCACTTCAGCCTGGATAAGAACAACTTTTGGGAAAGCAAAGCTAGGTAAAAATTCAATGGAAACGTCAGCCCAACTCATATCATTTGTGGGAAAATTCTACTTCTACCAGTCCTTCTACACCTTGAACGAAATTGGGTGAATTCATCTTATAACTGATTTATTGGTATTCACGAAAAACAATACTTAATTCGAAAAATCAAGATAACTAGTCAAGAAAAGTTACACCAGAACGAAATGCCTCTAATATTGCTTGTAATTAATGCAAACAGCGTGTTTATGTAGACTTTATGTTTCTTAATTAATGAGTCAGATAAAGTAGTTGATCAGGGGAATAAATTAATGACTATGTCATCTGAATGTGTGAACTCAGTAGGTTGGCAGCTGACTAGTAAGGATGATCTTGTGGCAAGTTTCTGTAGTATCAAATGTAAGCACATTTTCCAGTTAAGTGATCTATTATAGCACTACCACTCAGTCTAGAATAGCATTTAAAGATTATGAAATTGGATAGATCTATTTATTGGAGATATGAGTGGCTATTTTGTTATTTTTGGTTTAGAACTGGGCTTTCGAGGTTACCAGTAGAGCATATACACGATATGTATTCATGCTATTTCGTTTAGAGTGCTACAGGGACTAGTAATCGAATTTTACTACAATCATGTGGATAGACCTTACATTTCCATTGATTGTCGCATAACCTTGCTTTCCCAAAAGGTATTCTCATCCAGGCAGGGCTGGATTATAGTTTCGACCTCGCATAGGTCTCGTCTACACCCACAAAGGGACTCGAATCCTGACAATAAGATGTATAATCTTGACACGCTAACCATACAGTTCACAGTCCACCCTGGATGAGAATACCTTATGAAGAAGCAAGGATGTGTGAAATTGAGTTGAAACATCATATCTATTCATATTATTATGGAATACTTCAACTACCAGTCCCCTTATCGTCATAAACGAAATAGGATGAACACATATAAAATATTTTGTTATATAGCAACTGGGAAAATGATAATTTAGATTAAATAGTTTATTAGGATAAAAAAGAGAGTATTATTAATCGAAGCTTTGAAGACCAAGATGGTGTGCCCCTAGGTATCATCGCAATCTCCTTTCGATGCATAGAAGTGAATTGAACTCATTTTCAAAACTTCCTCTGCTATAGTAGTTATCATTTTTCCCGGCATTGGATCGGGAACTTGGTACATTTGCAGACGTTTCGTCGGCATCGTAGACAACGTCATCAGTGAGCTTTTCCCTTCTCAGCACCAAGCCATAACTCGTCAAAGAGACAAGTGAAGAGTTATAGCTCGGTGCTGAGAATGGAAAGGCTCACTGATAATGCTGACTACGATGCCGACGAAACGTCTGCAAATGTACCAAGTTCACTATCCAACGCCGGAAAAAAATGATAACTGCTATAGCAGAGGACGTCGGACAAGGTGCATCCAATTAGGTCGCCCTGACAGTATGACCAAGTGGGATACGAGTGTAAAGAGTAGATAGATAGGCAATGACAGAAAGAGGAGTGATAGTGTAACCGTTTTCGGCAGAACTTTTGTCGAGGGATCGACTTCACTT